AAATGAGTTACCTGCATTCACACATACATATATACACTCGAAACGTATGTACAAATTTATATACGAATGTACGTATGCATATGGAGTTAAACATACACGTATATAAGATAATTGTGTTGAGTGCTTTGTCTATTGTTGCGCCTGGCGACTCATTACCTGCCTGTCATTCATTTTAGTTTTGTGTCCTAAGATAACTCTTACTCTTGATGTTATTGTGGTGGCTTTTATCGAATGCAGACCTGTGCTATATCTATTAGCGTCGAGTTCTGTCTCCGGCTGTCGCTTTGAGTGCTCGCTTTGTCTGCAATGGTAGCTGTTCGCACATTGTTGGCTACTTGTCGAAGTGGCCACTGATATGTTTTGCAGAAATTATATACTTACCTTATTGAATGAGGAGCAATTTGGCAAATTAATACCACAATTTGAACTAGGAAATTCAAAGTAAATGCATTCTACTTCTAATATTCTTTGATAAATTCAATCACCGAAAATATTATTTGAATTTTTTAACCAAATATAAATCACACATATGGAATAATATATGTACGAGTACATACGAAAACTATTAGAAAAAAAAAATTAAGTAAAATAAACTAACAAGTCGAAATTTATAATTGCTGGTAACGGTACTGTGATTGAATGTGAATGCTAAAATGCTAATGGAACGGTTTCACCGTTTTAAGGGACATTTTGCAATAAAGAACGAACCCCAAAAAGCGTAACCAAATTCTTCCACTTATGACGTCAAAAAGACCCACCATTGACAAAAGAAATTATTGTTAAAGAATTGGACTTGAATGTCACGGCTGTATCGCGAATATTTAGTAATCATTTGGGATAAAAGAAGAAATCTGCTCGATTGGGTACAACGAATTTTAAATGAGGACCAAAAAGAGGCTCGAGTGCAATTTGCTCAATTTTTAAACAAATTCGAAAATGATCAGTCTAGCAACTTCAGTAAAGTCATTACTAGGTACGAATTTTGGTTCTATAAGCATGATTTAGAAATTAAACAGCAGTCCGTGGTATTGATACCGTGGTATTAATACCCCCCGCAAGCAGCAAAAATCAGCATAAAAGGTATTGATGTCAGTTGACTGCACCCAATCTAAAGTCGTAGCTGCTATTCCACTTGAAAAGGGCCAAAATGGTAGATCGAAGAGTGCTTACCAAAAGTTCTTAAAATTTTTTTGGAAAACAGTAAGAAAGAGGATTTGCGGCTTTTAATTGCTTTTAACATCATGACAACTCACCAACCCACACTGATGAAATAACGAGTAATTTTATTACGATATCTGGGATCAAAGAAATACGTCCAGCGCCATTTTCTTCGGATATAGCATCTTGTGATTTCTGTTTTTTTTCCAAAAATTTAAAAAAAATTGAAAGAAAAGTTCGTTAGTAGCAATGAGGAGATAATTAATACGTTGAATGCTGAACTTGATAAGCTTAAAAAGCAAAATTATGAACACTGTTTACAGAAGTGGATTTATAGGCTTAAAAAATGAATTGATTTATGTAGAGAAAATAAAAAAAAAATATTACGAATAAAAACAAAAATATTTTTTTATTTTCTTTTATTTCTCAACTTATCGAACTTTTGTTAACTCCCCCCCCCGTACTTAAGCTACTAAAAACTAAGTTCGTTATAAATTCTTGAAAGTGCGCTTTTTTCCCACAAAAGGAACAGCTTTCAGCTTATACTAAGCCTCCTCCGAAGGGCTGACGAATCTTTGTGAGAAGCTTTTATTATAAGTCACATACTCACATTCTTAATGAATTTACGAAAAATGAAACTTTGGGTATCCTCTCATCAACATTTATTTACACAATAACTATTAGTATACAACATTTATTGTTTTTCCATCGGACATGCAAATGAACAGTTTATCTGGGTTACAAATCTAGCAACAACCATCTTTTCTTTTCAAAAAACATAATTTCTCACCAGCGTGGTCAGCTATTTGAAATATAAGTACACATTTTTCGAAATGGTCAGCTCCTATACTATACGTAGCCAGCTAGAAAAGGGTTCTGTGTTGCTCGTTACAAATCCCTTCTCTTCAGGCGCATTTGACTTGTTGAGGAAGGCAATGCTTGAACCAAAGAGTTTTGTTGCGTATTTTTGTGTTACGATTTTAAGGTCTTCTAAGTATACACACCACATTTAGATATCTATGGATATTTTCATTGCACATATAACATAGTGTGTCCGTTGTTATTCTTCACGTCTTCGATTGGAGACTTTGTTTTATATCTATATTTGTTAGGTAAGTTGTGACTCATAACAAGATTTCATACATCCATGTCGGTTTAATTATCGAGTTATAGAGAAGAACTTTGTTTTTCAGACTGAATTCAGATTTCTTGTTTCCAGGCCATTGCGAATTGGAAAAATTTAAGCTTCAGCTGCATCATTTTGGTGGAAATGTTGTGCTGTGTAAATCGTCTATCCAAGTGAGCGCCAACAAATGTTACCGCGTTAGGTCATGGGAAGAATTTTGTAAAAGTTTTCCATTTTCCCTTAGTTTCATTAACTTAACTATCCATTCTTCAATTATTTCAAGATGCTCCAATGCATTTATGTCTATAATGGGGCATTTGTGTCGATTTATTATAGCTGTATCAACCTCGCGTATTGATAATATTACTTATTCGGTTGTCGGAATATCTGCGGTGAGAGGTATGTAAAATAATGGCCCAAGAACACTACCTTGCGGAACACCTCACTCTTGTAATTGTATACTTTTTTTTGTAATCATTTACTTTTATAGTAAATTGAATATGAGATACGCAGGATTCAAGGATGGTAGAGAATGTTTTAGGTAATGTTTGTTTTATTTTGGGAATAAATCCATAATATCGCATCTTATCAACTGCTTGAGCAACAACGAGAAAACGGCCGAGCAGAATTCTTTGAACTCGAAAAAAAAAACTTTTTGCAATGTTTTTCGCGAAAACCAAATTTCATGAAGTAAAAGAGACATTTTCGGTAGCAGCGCCTTTTCGAGCAGTTTGGATAGGCAAGTCATCAGCTGTTTGGTCTATCTGATGACGACATGGTTGCGTCTTTACCTGGTTTAGCGATCATAATTATCTGCTACTTCTTGTATTGTAAGAAAATCTTTTGCTTGGAAGTTCTTTTGGCATTTTTGGTGTGACTTGATCCAGAAGATTTTTTTTTGTCCAAGACGGTAATAATATTTTTGACTTCAAATACAGTTGTTTCGCATGTGACAGTGTATCTGAAAACACTATGGTTTGATGACAAAAGTGCTTTGCATGCAGCAGTATTTGGTTGGAATACCGTTGAGGTGATCTGTAAAAAAGTTGTCTTTACTTTTTCTTGGCCCTTGATCCGTTACGAAGTCTCAAAGCTGGCTCGGAGTTTACCGGGCTATAGATTTTTGATAGCTTTCTAAACCGATTTTTTATTCGAAACGTTTGGAGACGAGGAAAATCTAAAAATTTTGATATGTTTTCCTTTGCTACCGTAATGCCACTTTTAGCTTTTTTCTCTCGGATTTTTGCAGCAGGCGAAATTCAGACTTGTCATTCACAATTAAAACGTCGGTTATTTCTGACCAAAAACTCTATTGCGCAGTAGGTAAAAATTGTTTCGGTTTTTGGTTGTGTTTCTTATTCTGGTTGTTGGTAGCAGTTTTTGGGAAAAATTTTATTTTGAATAAATATTTTTAAAATAAAAAAATTAGTTACATTCTGCTGCTGACATTTACCTACAACAAATACAAACCGCCTTATATACAAATATTTATTTAATATTGTTGAATAAACTCATTATAACATATTTAATTAGTTTAGATAATTAATAACAGTTAAAGTAAATATACAAAAAAAAATACCAACATTAACACACGAAAATATTACCCAAACTGAGTACTAAAAGGCTGAAAACAATTTTAGAGGAGGCAATGTGTGTCTATGTAAAATTTGAAAATCAAGGCAACCACTGACGGTAGAAAGGTCAACAATGATAAATATATGCCTCCTAACTGGACACAAATATCTAAAACCAGAAAATTTGCCTCTACTCTATTTTACTCACGATTGGCCATCCAACTATACACCCATCTGCAATATATGTATGTACAGTTTAATTGTCAAAATTTGCATATAATTTAAATAGCAGTGCAAACGCAAAATATTTGCATAGCAAAACTGCGAATCGGGCAAAAATGTTCAGTGTAATTATGTAGTGCACATTATATCGGCAAGCATATGTGTGAAACAACTAATTTGCGAATTTGTATACACACAATGGTTAGCCATACTTTAACGGCAAAATATTATTATAAAGTGAATTATTTGGCAAATTGTATAAAATAACTTTCCCGTCAACTCATCAACGTTGATTTATTGGTAAAGAGATTTTGAAAAGTGTATTGCGTGCTTCTTCAATTAGACCACTATTTGATTACCGAGAATTAATTAGCTTTTCCGTAAATAAAACGGCAATATTTTTGTTATGCATAATATAATTGTATAAACGTGACAATTAAGGCAGTGTTTCAGCAGGCCATCCCACTGATCGAAGGAAAATATCTGATTTAATGACTTGAAACCCTAACAAATACTAAAGTTGAAGTATTAGTAGGTTAAAGGTGTTGTCTGCGGAGTAAATGGGACTCAAATCGCTCTCCTGCTTCAAATTATCGGTTAAAAACAGCAGAGAGAAGACTACGGAAGAAAGTGCGCTGAAACAAACAGAAGATCTTAATGTAACAACCAGTATAAAAAAGCTGATGGCATACCAGATATAGACCACACACAAATAATTGACAAGAATTCTGCTATAAAAGAACTATTTTTTTTCGATCGTTACAAGGTGTTACCAGAATAGCAACTCGGTTTTCGTGAGAAGCATATAGCTATAGAAAACGTCAACAAAATTACAAATGAAATTGAGAATACAAAATGATCCTTTATTGAAATTCATATTTTCAGTAGAAGCTGGTTTTCCTCAAGTTAGCGTTCGCGCATGTGAGACCCGCCTTTCGATGAAGACCTCCGCATTTAGGAGATGCAGCTGCTAGTTTATATCAACGTAGGAATAAAGGCTGACATCACCGCTATCTAAGAAGTACAATCAACGGGACAAGGACGGAAATCGGTAAGTCTTTGTGAAATATGCTACAGCAGCTATATAAAGGAGCGAAACTTTGGTGTCAGCATTGTTATGAAGTAAAGATTTTGACGCCGAGTGCTGGCGTTCAACCCGGAGGATTAGCGTCTCGTATCTTCAAACTCTCTGTATATCGCCGCTATGCAAAAAATTGGATTTCGGCAGTGCCAGAAAAAAGCTGATAGGATGAAGAATCTTAAAATGCAATGAAGAGAAAACAAAATGCCTAGCCGGCAACCTTGGGAATGAGCAGTACACGTGCAGGGTTGTGCAGATTTCAAGAGCTGAAAGGGAAATCAAGACGCATTGGCAAAAAAAAAAGAAAAACACCGAAATGCCGCCTCAGTATGAAGAGCTTGACAAGCTGGCCGACAAAGGTAACACAAGTTACGGTGCCTTACGAAAGGTTTCAAGATCGAGGCAAACTCTTCTATGAAACAGATACCGGATCTCGATGCTGAAACCCAGAGTATAACCAGTTTATGGAGAGAACACTATTCCGATCTGCTAAATGGCGGTGAAAATGGAACAGACGCAGATTGTAAACCCGAAAATCTAATCGATCACTATGGAAAAGACATTACATTACCCTACTAGGACGAATAGCGATTGCTCGTCTTACGAACAACAAAGTGGCTATAGCTGACGGTCTACACCACATACCGTGGGATAAGCCTCCTTAATATCGCATATAAAGTCCTGTCGAGGGTATTGTGTGAAACACTAAAGCCAACCGTCAACAAAATGACTGCATCCGAGGTATCAGATAGATTTACTCTTCATGGACGAGGTACAATCTTTTACAAATTATAAATTTACTGTCGTTTAATATTATTTATTGATATCACAGACCTTAACAACCGCACCGTGAGTTAAGCTTTCTCCACACTTGATATAGAAGCGAAGCGAATAGCTCTGGTAGTGAACAAATACCAGACAAAATATCTCATGTCATAAAACAAATAGTCTTCGCATTCGCGACTTGGCTCCCACGTCCATAAATGGACCAGCATTAATAACAATTCGTGCGAATGAAAGAAAGCATTCAACCTTTGAAGGTATTCTACGAAGTAATTGTTGATGAAAAGAAAGATGAAAGCCAAACAAAAAAAGATCGGATGAATGGCCTGCGATTGTTGGTTCGGCTATAATAACTTTGCTTACGTCAATAAAGAAGAAGAAAATGTTTTAATAGATATACGATTGTCAGCAGGACCAACATTATGAACTTCTATTTTGTATATAATAATATAATCTAATCCTATTTCAAAATAGAGTGTAAGATTGTTTGTTAGATAAGAATATGTTTAAATGGCAAGAGCGCTTAAATCTTCTGAAGTCAGGTGGTCTGGATAGATTCTGTTATTAATTTTGTTGTATTATTTCGCTCATAAAAAACAAAAGCCAATATTTTGTACATTTTTCCTTTCTCCAATTTTTAATCACTTTCTGATGTTTCTGCATGACCTTCATTTCCACGTTTCACTTTTGAATATTCTTTCTTAGTTTCAATGCTGCTAAAAATGTACTCAAATAATTCATTAATCTCTCACTCACGTTGTACTGTTGAGTGATGGAAATAATGACAGCCACAAGATTTTTTCTTTTTTTTATCATAAATAAAGCATTAAAACAAAATCATAGAACGACTGACAGTTACAAACAAGGGCATGACGTACGACTGTCATGTCGTCATTTTTGCCCCATTGATTTAAATATAACAGAAAAGAAAATTGAAATCATTCAATCGTCATGCAAGTTTTTCCCGGACTGTTGACTGTTGTTTTTGTCAGTTCATAGAAAGTAAGCAGTGTAGTTTGAAAAGGAAAATCATCAGAGCAAATACTTGAAGCGGAGACAAGTTTGTAGCAATGGTTGAACAACATTCACACATTTATACATCTACATATTTGTATTTGTGAGAAATCCGTCAACTGTAAGGATAGGTAGACACCAGTTTCAAATACATTTTCTAACGTTATCTATATGATGTGTTTGCACATGTTTAAGTGCTTTTCATTCGTGAAGCTGTAAGTGTTCACGGCTCGACCACTACAAATGTATCTGAAGATCTCAATGATACTTGAGGTGAGGGTTTCTTTTTTTGATTATCATAAATGCTATAGGTAGTGGTGGACACATTAGAGGATTGCTTTCTCGTAAGAGCTTAAATATTAAACATAATTCAACGCAGCTAAATTTGGATTCTGATGCAAACAAAGATGATGGGCACCAATAGATAACGTGTTTAGCGAGTCTTCTTTATTTCTATGAACTTTAAGTAAAAGAACTAACATAAAAATCATAGCGATTTGCTCGACAGCAGAATAGGAACTACCTCTACATTGCAATGACTGAATTCGATATTTATGTATATACATATAAATGGAGCTGAAGAGTTTCCTCCTCCATTTTGTGGTATACATCTTAATAACTTTCCAATAAATGGAGGGAAATATAGTTTATTACAAGCTGCCTCCGAACGACTGATGGATTTTAATTGGGAGCCTTTATTTTTTATTTCAATTCACTTTATTCCGTCACTGATTTACAGATCTTACAGACTAGAAGTACAAATTAATTGAAAACTTAAAACCATAAATGTATACTAAAAATAAAACGCGTTAAGGATAACGAGATATCGGGAATGCAAAATCAAGACCAAATCATTTAGAGATTCTGTTAAATTCAGGGAGTGCTCTAACAATAGGATCATAGTTATGATAATTGGCTATAATTACATCTAAATAGAACGGATAATGAGAGCGCAAAGTTCTATGAGGAATATTAAATCTGATTTGCTCAAACAGCTCTGGACAGCCCACTAAGCCATTGATTATGTCATAAATAAATAGTAATGACCGAACAGATCGCCGAAATGAAAGAGATTTGAAATCAGAGAAATGGAGTGGAGCGAAGCGAAACAAATAAACCTACGTTGGATGGTTTCAAGTCTAGAGGAATTTGTAGAATAAATTGATTGTATTCCAAATTAAGCTAGCATACTCTAGGCTTGAACGAACCAAAGCGTTATGTTAAATTTTTTTTTGAAATCACCACCATACCGCCGTAAAAAAGCATAGTTAAAATAAGATTTAGGAATGATGCAGTTGATGTGATCAATGGATGTAAGTCCCACACCAAACAACACACCAATATCCAAAAATTCATTTACAAAAGATAGTTTATTATGAAATAGATAATAGATAAGTCGACCTTAGCACATTTGAGCACTCTGAAAAATGCTAATGCTAAAATATTTTTTTTTATATTAAGCGGCATATTATTGCGAATGCCCGAATTGGTTAAATTGATAAAATTCTAAAGAATAGCATTTGAAAAACATCGAATGCATTTAAATAGTTTTAGGGCGTCTCCAGGAATTTTGAATTTCCAAAGCGAGTTCCTATGTCATTTATAAAAAGAAAAAAAAATAATGGACCAAGAATGTCCATGTGGGACAGTATTTGGAAAAATCGGTATAGACGACATCAACTTAGAACGACCGCTGACAAAACCATGCTAATTCGGGCTAATGGAGCCTTTAACCGCAAGAAAAAAATTTGTCCTTCACCACTTTCTAGAGAAGTTTTGAACAATTCGATAATTTGGATATGGGCCTATAATTTTTAACATCATTTTTGTTACCAGACTTAAACAACGCAGAGATAAAACCAATTCTCCAACGATTAATGAAAACACCAGTCGAAAACGAAAGATTAAAAATGTATTTTAAGGGAGCAGAAATATACCAACTACGTATTTTAAGCACATCAGAAGAAAGCCCGTCAAAATCGCTGCTCAAAGAGAACTGCCAAGCAGCAATCCCATTCAAAAGATCCAATTCAGTGCCTGAAAGACTACCGAAATGTGAAATCTGCGAAATTTGCAGGTCATTACAGACGGAAGTGTCAACATTTCCACTATACATGGTTAGATTTGAAAAATTCGCCAAGGCGATTTACGGTATCCAAAGTGTTTCCGATTTCTTACCACATTTGATATGCTAGAGGGAATATTGGATTAATTTTTAATTCTTCTTAAAATCGGATAATATATTGCGTATAAAGAAACTTATCGAGATCGTTAAAAGTTTTCATATATTGAGTATATTTATATTTTATCATCTACACTCGATGTTTACTGACCTTAAATAAATTATAAAATTTGTTTCTAAGATTTATTTGTCACAAAAAACACTCGGAAGGGTTGAAATTTCGGGGGCAATAATGTTTTCTTTAATTTCGGACGTTGGTCGAACCAAGTCTTGGACCTTCATCTTCAGAATAGCAGAACTCAGTGCTATTCACTCGGCTATTGCGGTCGCCATGGTGTCAGGACTGGAAATGACCTCTTTAAACCATTTGATATTGAATAAAATTCCGTCTAACTTCTTAACTTTGTTGCCGGAGAAAATAATTTTAATTAGATAGGAGTGTGTCAGGCTTTAAATGGAATGAAGAATCCCTTTTGCGAACCATTTAAGCGGTTAAAAAGTAAAGTTCTCTTATGACTAACGCAACGCAAACTCTACAAATCCTTCATCACTCTCATTCTGCTGTATGGTGCGGAAGCATGGGCGGTCTAATTTGTCGGCGCTGGAAGTTTTCGAGAAAAAGATTCTGCTGAGGATTTATAGCTCTTTGAGCGTGAGTAACTGCAGAAGTAGTCTACTTCCAGGAGACCGAAAAAATGTTTTTATAAACAGTGAATTTTTAGCAAGTTTATTCTTGGCAATTGAGTCATAGATATCTCATTCCTTGTATCAATGTCAAAGAATTATAAATGGTTCCATAAGTTAAATATAAATCTGATGCTAAAATTGAAGCCAGCAAAATTTTGGTGAATGGGCTCTGCCTATATCATTTTATTGCCGTAAAATTATGATTTGGGATGAGCCTCATCTCTGACTGGATATTCAATTATAAACTTTAAGATTTCTTAAGTCTCATAAAACTTTATGCCTTTCGGGTAGCAGTTTAAAAACATCAATGCAACAACATTTGCTATGCATATTGGTGTGGTAAAAATAAATCCATTGTTTTTGAAAGAAATTTCAGGCTTTAATTGTTAGAATGATCCGATTTAAAACATGCGGCATTCTATTCGATTACTTGTTGGCATTTTAAAACTAATTTCATTATGCCTCTCTCAATGGCGGTCGGACTCAACAATGTTCATGATTTTATCGCCATTTTCGACAATTATCCTTCTAGTGAAACCAAAATGAGCGTGAGTGGCTGTTGAAGTATCAGGACCCTAAACGATTTTCACATTTTCAACCGCCTTGCTTGCGTTTTCGCCCTTATCGAAGAAAAATGGAGAATGTAGCGTATTTTCTCTTTTCTAGTGTCCATTTTCGACACGCGCTCAAACAAAACTTTATCAACCAATCACAAAACTATCTGAGAAGCATTTATAGTACAAAATATCATCTTTACAACGCTATCAGGCAGAACTAGATGGACTTATACAGCGTGATAATAACGCCATCTATTGGAATAATAATGGATTCCTCTTTACTACACCTAATATATATATATATATAACATATAAGTGAATTATTATATTTATTAATAAGTTTTTCTGCTTATCATGAGCTTCATATGACTATGCTAAGTTACTCTAATATCATGAACTTGAAAAAAAATTGAGAAATAGAGTAACCTGACATAGCCTTTAATATTTAATTATTCTGAACTGTTTTAGTACCAAAAATAAAACATATTAAATTTTAATAGAACTTAAATATGCATATATTGTACAAAAATACATTTATTTTTTTGTAAAAAGTATTGCATTTTTTGTTTAATTTGATGCAAGCTTAATGTATACTGCAGTATAAAATTCGTATTACAAAAAGAAGTAAAAAATCAAAAGCTTAAAAATATTAAAAACACTACATACTCTGCTGCATATTTTTATACATGTGTGTGTAATGTGTTTTACATTATATTGGTAGACCATAAAGCTTATATTTGTTCCACCATGAAACCGCATTTTTCACGCTCACTTGTAGCATTTTTATGTGCACATTTATGTGTATACTTACATGCATGTGCACACAAACAAATAAAGTAAATAAAAGCACGCTTACCATTACAATCGCTATGTAAATATTTTTTAATAATTTACCAGGTGTAATTATTTGGTAATTAATATTGCAACAATACATATATGTAGTATATGTATGTATGTCC